AGTTCCATCATGTCCCTTGTCATCCTTCTCCTATCAAATCTAATCTCAAATGTGCCTACTGGTATGTTGATCTTTCTTAGCTAAATATCATTTTATAAGTTAACTATTCGAGAGATTTTGTAGCATCTCTATCAACCTCACTAAGTGAAACTCCGAGAGTTACAATCATTACTAATTGTCCGATCACCTTAATTGGTGGAGCTTAAATTTACTTCTAACCCACTTTATATAATGGGATTAGAGTGCGTCTCTCGCCTCGAGCGTGGATGTTATTAATGCTAAGTCAATTGTATCATGTAGTAAAGTGAATATGTTTGCATTGTCTCAGTTCTCTTGTTGGGACACCGGATGGCAACGGCTGTAGCCATGATTTCTCTAAGCAATGAGAGAAAGGCATGGCTAATTTTGGCGTGGGTGAGCACCATGGCCGAGAACCTGTCACTACTGGGATCAGCTGCCAACTTGGTAGTTTGCAAGCAGGCTCATTGAGCTGTTCCTGTTGGCTACACTTGAACCTTTTAGAACCATCACAAATTTGGACTTCCCTCCATGATAATTGTCACTGCTATTGGCTTGACATTCATTAGATGAACTTTAAATTAACTATTTATTTCAATCATCCATCTTTCATTTTCTCAACAGAAAGCTTTGTATTGTCTATTCATTTATTTAGATATTGTTTTGATAAATTTTATCATGAAGCTGGAGTTCATCAATTTGATTTCATCTTTTTAGATTGAATATTTATGTAATTTGTGTGGCTGGACCATATTTTAGATGGGTCTGATTTGGGCCATGTTTAGAAGTTAAACGGGTTAGTTTTTTAGAGCCCAACAGGTAATAGATGACCCAAACCTAGCCCAAAGGAAACTCTAGTGTGCGTTTGTTTTCCTATTTTTGCCCTATCCTATTCATATCATTTCTAAAATACATATTTATTTCCCTATTGTGAAAATACTATTATATTTTATTCAATTATTTTTAAACCCCCTAAGTTTGTTAAACACCAAAAAAAAAAAAAAAAGTTTAGAAATTGACAAAAACAACCCCACCCACACACATTTGCCAGATTCCGGCCACCACCATCGAAAAGTGGTCAGAAACTGGTACAATGATGCACTACCGGCTAGATCTAGCCGATAGTGCGCCAATATAGCCTTTTTCAGACAGATCCACTGTGGATCTGGCCGAAAAATGCTAAATCTTTGGCCGTAGCTAGTCGTTGACAACCAAATGCGGCCAGATCTAGTCACAAATGGCCAGATCTAATCATAAATCTGACCTTTTTCGACCAGATCCATGGTGGATCTAGTTGGAAAAGGCCATCTCGGCGCACGACCGGTCAGATCCAATTGGTTGTGCATTGATACAGCGACTTCGGCCACCCTTCGGCAGTGGTAGCCGGCTATCGGTATTTAATAGGTGGGTGGGGGTGTTTTTGTAATTTTTAATGTTTTTATTACATGAGTGTTTAGTAAATCAACAAACCTAGGAAGTGTTTTTGTTAATTTTCAAATTCTACCTCGTTATTATCACCCAACTCTTACTTTTGCAAAAATACTATCTAAAACACTAAAACAAACGCACCCTAGTCTCTGTTAAATGATTAAGGCGAAACCCAAAACAACCAAAAATAATTTTTAAATATTAGAATAAAATTCAATTTTTTTATTGTATCTTAATCTTTTTAATATTTGAAAATGTATTTGATATAATATTTAAAATGAGTAAACGACATATTCCCACCCAAGGTTTGACGAAATCCCAAGTTGGTACCCCAAGTTCCATTTATTCTATATTCCCATCCTTAAAATAACACTATTAACAATTTTTAGGGTAGTGAGGGTGCAATTACCATAATGCCCTTAACCCTAATTAGTAAATTACGTTTTAACCCCTACATTACTAAAATTATAAATTAACCATCTTATTCTGAAATTACTTCAATTACACCCTCAATAACTATGCACCGTCTTGGTTTTCATCGGATCTGGGCTGTTTCTAATAGCGACGAACCCCCTGGTCACCTCTATCACCTTCCCCATCATCCGTCTTCCAAAACCCCTTTGGTTCCCGACTTATTGGGCCCTCTAATCACTGGCGCCGTCAAGCTTAGGTTTTCGTCATTCTTCGATGGATTCCGGTCGATTACGGTGACGAAAATCCAATTGGACATAACCACTGCAACCAGCTTCTCCAAATCTACAAAACCCCTATGTCCCCAGCAATCGTTTAATGACCATTTGCCTATGGAGACTGATGAAAACCAGTCACATGTGGTGGCTGTCGTGGCTGGCAATTAGCGAGTGATGAGGGGTTGTGAAGGGAAGGTTTTGAGAGGGGAAGATGAGGGTTCAAATGGTAGTGACAATGGTGATTTTGAGTAGAAGAATCACTGGAAAAGGGCAAAAAACGTCGACAGTGATGTTGGCTAACGTGCGCTGGAGCTTTGTTAGGGACATCGATCTTCTAATGTGCGCCTCCTCTGCGAAATGATCAATTTACCCTTGAGCCGTTATATCTAACCATTTTCCGTTACTTTAAAGGTGAGAATCTAAAATAAATGGAACTTGAGGTACCAACTTGAGATTTTGTCAAACCTTGGGTGGGAATATGTCGCTTACTCTATTTAAAAATTATAAAATCTATGAATTTAGATATATCTTAAAACTGTTCCGAAAACATTTTAACGCATTTCTGCCAAACAAATTATATTTAAATTCTATGTAAAACGGATCCTAAATTTGTGGGCTTTTTTCACCAAGGCTAATTCTGAGTTCATTTCATAGTTTCATTTAATTTCTTCGGTTTCTGACTCGCGTAGTCGTCGCATTCATGACTTTTTGAACCTGTTACATCATCCAAGAATTTTTTTTTTTTTTTTTTTTTTAAATATCTTTACGGAAACACCTTACCGACTTTGTAGCAAGAGATAAATTATTGACTATTGATCAGTACATTGTCTACAAAAAGACAAAACTAGATAATCCAATAGAAATCTAATTTTTTTTATCATTTAATATTTCATTAATAATCCTAAATTACGGTGTTATTATTATTTTTTATCATTGAGGTGTTCAGGTCATATTATATATACCTTAACTAATTTTTTAGGATCTTAAAACTATCGATCAGGTAAAAACCCTTATAATCATCTCTATTAATGTTTGAGAAGACCCTGATTTAGAAATTTATAAAATTTTCTTTTACCCTTTTATCATTCATAGTTTAACGTTATTACTATTGAATCATACTAATATGATAACTTTTGCATATGTTTGTATTGTTTTTTGGAATTTATTTATTGGTTAATAATTTTTTTTTTTATATTTGTTAATATCAAACTTTATTTTGATAAGATCTTTTGTAATAAAAAGCCAACTCAGAAACACATGGTAAGCTTAATATATAGAAAAAATTGATGAAATTGTAATGATGTGATGAAGAAAGAAGAATAAGAATATGCAAATTAACGTGTCAAGCTGCGAAGCCAACAAACATGATGATAAGAAAGTAAAGGTGGGCCACTTGGCACGTGCTTGTGTGATTAAATTCCTCTACATTCATCTCCCCTCTTCATCCTCACCTTAAATTTCTTTCTACTAAATTTCCCTATCTTATTTTACTATTTTCAATCCATAATTATTTTCTTCCTATTATCAAAAATAATAAAAAAAATTACAGGAATATAAAAAAAAAAAAAAAGACCAAACAATTATACATGAGTCTAGTATTCAATTAGCCTTTTTTTTTTTTTAATCTAATTTACATGTTTAAATGTTCACAAGTATAAGTATAAACTCAGCAAACCTGAAACACGAGACAAATCTAACTAAAACACGAGATATTTACGTCTTTAATATTGCTATGTTTAAAATTAGTGTTATTGATGTAGTATGGAATTAGGACCACCATATTTATAGAGAAAGACATACCTAGAACAACACTCAATTTGGTCTCCTCTTTAGTCAAGTTCGTCTTTATTTAATTCCACAAAGACAATAAACGTTGTCACATAAATAGTTCAATAAGACTTCATAATTTTGGTCTTTGTCACTTATATAAAAGTCACTAGCTTCCAGTTTCAAAGTAATTAAATAGCTGCAATTTTTGCCATTATGCTTTGAAAAATAATTGTTGTATAAGTATAACTAATAATAAATATTTTAAAGTCAAAATTCAACTAAATTGGTTAAATATGGAAATATATAGTTTTTAGAGATTCTTTACATTATTAAAATATTTTCTTCTTCATTTTGCCATTTTTGATTGAAAAATTAAAAGAAAATCAATTTATTGTTACACAAGTTAAATGATATACCGTTAACTCGCTATGAATCAATGGTTTTGTAATTGCTAATGACATTAACAATAAACCAAGGGGTTGATAGGATAATCAAAGATGTTTTTTTCTTCTAAGTTATAGGTTCAAATCTTAAGATCATCAATCACGATAACATGTTTACCTGGTTTCTTAGGCTTATAAGATGTTCATATTTCAATGGATTTTGAAAATTAATTGATATACGTGTAATTCCTAACCACCGATTACCCTCCCCCTCAAAAAAAAAAGACATTAAAATTAAAATATAACTTCTCATCTAAGTTTATTAGATTATATTAAATCAAAATATGAGAATTTGTGTCACAATTTTGTGTTAAAACATAGAAGAAAAATACTTAGAAATATTTATATATATTTGAAAATACTTTAATATATTTCAATTAAACACAACAAAATAAACAATGAAAAAGGTTTAAAAATTACATTTAAAATCATGAAATTAAATAAAAAAAGTCAACCTAGATGATCCAAAATATTATCCAATAAAAACTAAAAGGCAACATAAATCCGCTTAGAAAATAGTTTTACTAAACCTTGAATTTACCACACTTACTTTTAGTTAATTATATTAATTTAATTGGTTAGTCAATTTTTAATTTTTTAATTTTTTTTTAATATTCTAAAATCAACGCCCAGACAACTCCATGTCTCAGCTCAGACATACTCTCTCTCTACATTTCTATCAATCTCTGTCTTCTCTACGCGATCTCTTCTCAAACTTTCAACTCAAAAATTCTTAAAAACTCTCTTTTTCAGATTTCTTAGGGTTTATTTTTTTTTATTTCTTCAATTATTCAACGATTCTCCTGATTTTCTTCTCTCCATTTCGCCTCTCTAATAATCACTTCGTCTTCTTCTTCACTTCAGATTCACTGCCGTTCAGCATGTGAAGTGAGTACTCTACTATCTGTTCTCTTTTAATTTTAGTTAGCTTCGATTTTTATTTTTATTTGTTTGTTTTTGTATTTTATGTTTTTGTTTTGCTATTTGTTTGTAGATCTGTGTGTTGACGTTGTTGCTTTAGGTAAGCTAAAATCTTACCCTCTGTTTGTTTCTCGAGAAAATCCGGTAATCTTAGAGTAAAATTGGAGATTTGAAATTGGTATATTATGAGGCATCATGAGTTTTAGGTATAACATGATTTTGAGGCGCACGTGTGGGTATAATTTGAAACTGAATTCGTATGATTTATGGTTTTATAATGCACGTTTAATACTTTTATAGTAAAGATTGTGATGGTGCGTTGATTAAGTAAAAAATGTAGTTCCTTACTTCCTTTCAAGGTTGCTGGATGAAGTAGACACGAAACAGTCAAAACTCAGAACTTTGAAGAGGTCAGCTGAAGATTGGCTGACCGGTTATGACTTTTATATATGTGGGGATTTTTTGTGCCTTAATGAAATTTTAGGGGTGTTATCATCATATGCTTAGTTTGCATGTTCGAGTCAGATTTTGCCGGTTTAAGTAGTAGGATGTTGTCTTTGCATTTGTTAGAGACAGGTACTTCCATCATTTGAGTCAACTTCTTTAGGTGTCGCAATTAGCAATATATTCAATCATATGATTGTGTACATGTTTGTGTAATAGTGTGAATGGACCAGCGTAACTAATATTACAATAAAAGTTTGTTCTGTTGAAGCCATTTTCTTATCCTGTGTATGATTTTTGGAGTTGACAAATCCATTGCAAACAATGGTCATTAAGCATGTTAGATATCAATTTCTTTAGGAAAAACTTCTAATGTGGTATTCTCCTTTTCCCTTTTCTTCTTTGTTATAGGTTTTTGTATTTTCATATTATTGGGAAGGTCACTTCAGTTCTCACTGACATTCTGAGGTCAGTAATTGTGACTTTCCAAGTTACTGCCGGTGAATGTAACTGTTGGACAAAATAACCGAGCCTTTTTGTTGGACACAATAAGCTTTAGAAGCTGTAAATTACTTTGGGTACATTGTGATATATATTGGGTTGCAGAGATGGAAATACATTAGAAGAACTTGTCTGCTATTACTCTACATCTTTACCATAAACAAAATGCGTTCTTGGTGGGGGAAGTCATCATCGAAGAAGAAAGCCAGTAAGGAAAATTTTATAAGCACATTACATCAAAAATTAAAGACTACACCGGAAGGTAAACAAAGCAGTAGATCAGGAGGGTCTCGAAGACATTGCAATGATACAGTTTCAGAATTGGGTTCTCAATCTCGAGCTGAATCTAGATCAACATCACCTTCCAAAAAAGTATACAGGTGTCAAAGTTTTGCTGAAAGGAGTGATGCTCAACCACTTCCACTTCCTGGTCCGCACCCTGCAGCTGTAGGTCGTACTGATTCTGAAATTAGTGTATCAGCTAAGCCAAGATTGGAAAAAGGCGCAAAGACATCCTTGTTTTTGCCTCTCCCAAAACCAGCATGCATACGAAACAGGGCAAATGCTACTGATTTAGATGGAGATCTGGTCACCGCTTCCTTTTCCAGTGATTGCTCCATTGATAGTGATGATCCAGCAGACTCCCGTAATCGCAGTCCCCTGGCAAATGACTATGACAATGGAACTAGAACTGCTTTAAGCAGCGGTTCGGGGTGAGCTTGCTTCTAACTCATGAACTATGATGATTTCACTATTGATGTAAATTTATCTACATTGTAATGAGATGATTCAATTGCACCAACCACCCCTGAGGTTTCGGAAACTGAACTTAGAGCTGAGTTTGGGTGTATTATGCAAAAATCACCATATTATTTTGGGAATTAGTCAAATACCACCCTACCGTCAACTTCTGTACAATTTTTGTTGGTATACAATGGCCTATTTAGCCCCAGAATTTGACTTAGTATGATCTTTTACAAATTGAAAAAATTAAAAAAATATTTTTTTCTTGCTTCACTTTTATTCCTACACTCACCCAGCCCACTCCCCTCACCCTTCTCTGGCAGCTTCTGGCTCACCCTTCACTGGTAGTTTCCTGTAACACATCCACTTTTCTTTGTCTCGCCACCACACCTCTCTCCCCCCACCTCCTACCTCAACAGCCTATCCGCCCGCCCTGAGCAGCTTTTGGTGCTGCCACTGAGGACTCAACCAAGGCCACAGACACCTCACCCTACTGCTGAACTGCCTTCCCCGTCTCTTATTTCTTTCTTTGACTTAATTTTTTACTCTATATTTTTGTGGCTGTTCTTTCAGGTTTTTTCCTTTGACATTGTATTTGTTGTATGGGCTCATAAATTTTGATTTATTTTTGTTGATGGGTTGTTTGTGGTCTTGGAAGTGCTGGGTGGGTTTTATTATGATTGTTAACTTTGTTGTTACGGTGATGATGCTGGTGTGTTCTGGTGCCTGGGGTTGATTTTTCCACGGCTAGTGTTTGTTTTTTTTGGGGGGGGGGCGGGGTTGGCTGATGAGGTGGGTCTTGTAGCTTTGATTTGTTGGGGGTTGTGTGGATTTGGAGTTAATTTGTTGGATGGTGTTTTGTTGATCTGGTGTTGACTTGGGATTGATATTAGGGGCTGTTGTGGTGGTTTTTTTGTATGGGTGCAAAAGGCTGGGGTTGGGGGCTTTTGTATTTTTTTTTTTAATTAGTTTTTATTTTGTTTCTTGGGAAGTGAGTCAATAGACAAGTTTCCTGTTCGTCAATCACAGAATTTGTAAAATGGTCAGCCTTAGGGGTGGTTTCTCACTATTTTTCAAAGATTATGGATGGTTTTCATAATATACCCAAACTCAGCATCTAAATGTTAGTGTTTGAAACTTCAGGGTGGTTATTGCAATTGATCCTAATGAAAAGGTAATTGTAATTTGTGTTCACATGCGGTCAATGCTTTTGTATTCTTAATGATCCCTATCAATTGACTCCAATTTTTTTTCCCGAAGCATGGTGGTGTCCAAGGATCTTTCATCCAATGCCGCTCAAACAAACTCAAGAGAGGCCAAAAAAACATTAAACCTTTCATTGAGTAATCGTCTCTCCCCTAAATCACCTAAGCAAAGACCTTTAAGTGGTCCTGTGCCAAATCTACAGGTTCCATTTCATGTAGCTTTCAGCAGTGCTCCTGACAGCTCCAAGTCAAGTCCTTCCAGAAGTCCAATCAATGGATTTGGCACTGAGCAAGTTGTGAATTCTGCTTTCTGGGCAGGGAAGCCTTATGCGGATGTCACATTACATGGATCTGGCTACTGCTCTAGTGCAGGTTCAGGTCAAAATTCTGCGCAAAATTCCATGGGAGGGGACATGTCAGGACAGTTATTTTGGCAACAAAGCAGGGGTAGCCCGGAATACTCTCCAATACCTAGTCCTAGAATGGCTAGCCCTGGGCCCAGTTCCAGAATTCAAAGCGGTGCTGTTACCCCTATTCATCCAAGAGCTGGAGAGGCAGCTATTGAGTCGCAAACAAGCTGGCCTGATGATGGAAAACAACAAAGCCATCGCTTGCCTCTTCCTCCTGTAACGATTTCCAACTCTTCTCCGTTCTCTCATTCAAATTCAGCAGCAACGTCACCCCAAGTACCGCGAAGTCCTGGAAGGATAGAGAATTCAGTTAGCCTTGAGTCACATTGGAAGAAGGGAAAGCTTCTGGGTAGAGGCACATTTGGACATGTTTATGTTGGTTTTAACAGGTATTCCAAAAAAGAAAAATGTTTGAGTTCATTTTATGATTTTATTCCTTTACATCTCCATGCACGTAGGTGGGTGTTCCTAAGTGACTTGCAGGATAGAATTGTCTTATCCTCCCATCAATTTAGTTGTTTATCTTGATTATCAATTGCACTGGCTCCTTTAGGTTTCTAAATTATGATTGAATTTCTGCTTATAATTTCTTAAGTTAGTTTCTAATAAAAAAAGAATTTCTATGTTAGTCTGGTGTTTTCACGGATTGATCATTACTTATATTGTATAATCTGAATTAATTTCTTTTTCTAATTGGTTTAGTGATAGCGGCGAAATGTGTGCAATGAAGGAGGTTACATTATTCGATGATGCAAAGTCAAAGGAAAGTGCTAAGCAGTTGATGCAGGTGGGTTGACTCCTCAGTAGACAAGGGTGCTATCAGTTTTTGAGATTATTATTATTATTTTTCTCTTTTTAATCTTTCACTTAATGGCACCTTTTCATAGAGGATTTATTTAATTGTTCGCTTGTTTTGTTTTAACATTGCCTACCTACAAAAAAAATTCACTCTCAAGTCTTCTTCAGGAAATTGCCTTACTGAGCCGCTTAAGGCATCCAAACATTGTGCAGTATTACGGGTCCAAATCAGTAAGTCTAATTTATAATTATTCCTATGATTCATCTTATGAATTGATTTTTTTTTTTTTTTTGGTGTAGTTTTTTTACCTTTTTGGTATTAATTTGACATGCTTTTCATCAACTTGGTGTAAAAGATAGAGATTTGGAAAAAGTCCATTGACAAAGAAAAGAGTTGTTATTAGTAATATATGTATATATTCTGTGGACAGGAAATTTATGATTTAGAAAGTTCTGGGAACTAAGTTTATGGTTCTTTTGTTTTTAAACAATATCAACGTAAGTTATTTTGACAAGTCTGGTCATTGCCATGTTTTACATGTTAAATTTTTGCTATTTCCAAGCAGGTTGGTGACAAACTTTATATATACCTGGAGTATGTATCTGGTGGATCCATTTATAAACTTCTTCAGGATTACGGACAATTTGGTGAACTAGCAATCCGTAGTTATACTCAACAAATTTTGTCAGGGCTTGCCTACTTACACTCTAAACAGACTGTTCATAGGTGAATGAATCTACCCAATTTTGAATTTAAGTTGAGTTTAAAGCTTCTCTCTGTCAAATATTCTATCGTTGAGTTTAAAGCTTCTCTCTGTCAAATATTCTATCTTCATTCTTAAATAACTTCATTTCTTTAACAGAGACATTAAAGGAGCAAACATACTTGTAGACCCTAATGGTCGGGTCAAGTTGGCAGATTTTGGGATGGCAAAGCATGTAAGTGGAGGCTTAGTTATTTTTTGTAATAATAAATGAGAACTAACCTAAGTTCAAGTATGAAATTGAAAATGTGGGACTACAAAAATGATGCATTGGATTTAAATGATCTGTTAAGGTTTTTATGAATTTAGTTGAATATACTTGGAAGTATAAAATAGTGCAATTACATGGTTACATGTGCAAATAATCTGTTAGTTTTTGATGGGAACCCACTTTAATAACTCAATAATTTGGGTTGGGCCATGGGTTTTTCATGGGCTTGGGTAGAACTCTCTTTGGAAAACCGGCTTGCCAAGGGAGGGTGCCCAAGCCTTTATAACCCACATGTCCACCCTTTTCCCTTTCAATGTGGGATCCTAACAGTTTTATTAGAGACTGCTTGCCAACTTATCTTCTGTGCTCTTTGCAGATTGCTGGGCAGTCATGTCCATTGTCATTCAAAGGAAGTCCTTATTGGATGGCACCTGAGGTTGGAAACTTTTCTTTTTTGTGCTTAACCTCCGTAATCATGACTTGGTTCTAGCCAGTGTATCGTAAGTCTTAATGTTTGTGCAGGTTATAAAGAACTCAAATGGTTGCAATCTTGCTGTTGATATATGGAGTCTTGGATGCACAGTTTTGGAAATGGCCACAACAAAACCACCTTGGAACCAATATGAAGGGGTCTGTATTGAAGACAATAAAAGATCTCTATTTTGCCTTCTTAAGATTTCATTTTGTTGAAATACTTAATTTCTTTATAAGAGATATTTGTTTGTTGCGGTGTTCAGGTTGCTGCCATGTTTAAGATTGGAAACAGTAAGGAACTACCAGCAATTCCGGATCACCTCTCAGATGACGGAAAGGATTTTGTGCGGAAATGTTTGCAACGTAATCCTTCATGTCGTCCCACAGCTGCTGAGCTTTTGGAGCATCCTTTTGTGAAGTATGCTGCAACTTTGGAAAGACCCATTCTGGATTCTGAGCCTTCAGATATATCCCCAGGGGTTGAGAATGGAGTGAAAAATCTGGTATATTCGTTTTTCTTGATTTCCATTTAATCTTATATTGATCTTGAGGTTGTGGTCTGTGATGATATTTGTTAAATCCTTCATAGTTTCCTCTGTTTTGACATTGAAATCTGGTTATAACATAAATATCAAATTGGCAAGCTTGTCTGAATATATATTCTTAAATTTCAATGATCTTGGGTGGACGTTAACACGCTACTTCTGTACTGTGTATAATACATTCTAGCAATATGGTTGCTGTCTGATCCCTTTGCCAGCAGTGAATTTGTATGAAGGAGTTCCTAAAGAGCTGTGTAAAACAGTGAGTTATGATGCCAGTTTTATTATTTTCCATGTAAGGGACATGGATTTATTATTTTGTGTTAGTTTTGTTAGGTGTTTGATGGAAGTTGGCTTAGAAAGAAGACATGTAGAATTTATGATCCTTTATGGAAACAAAATATCTCAAACCTTAGGTCAAAGAAGGAAGAATATTTACGTTCATATTCTGTTTAGTAGGAGTTGGAAGAGAGATCTATTACTCTCAGAAGATAACAACATATTTAGCCTTTCTAAAATCAGGTTTAAAATAATTAGATTGACATAGAATGTGCTGTACAGATCTGTCAAAAATGTTTTAGCAACTAATGACGTGGAGATGCTTTTGCAAGTTTATCTTGAGTTGTGTATCACAATGAGATAAAGATTGAAGTGGATGATGGTTTACTGGAGATGGACGGCTAATTTTGTTTAGGAGTGTTATATGATCAAATTTAAAAATTTGTTCTGCAAATAGAGAGCAACTATTCCAGGATTATGGAGCAAACTGGGGGCAAATAAAACTGTTGATAGTGAAAGGCTCTAAGGTGGATTGATTTTGTAGGTTAAAAGGGGCAAATGAATAATGCATGTGAGCATGATATAACCCCAAAACTAGGAAATGATCGTCTCTACTGACCCTAATTGTGATAAGGCTTGGGTAAAGGTGACGAATACAACAGCAACACAAATATGCCAATAGTCTTCTAAAACTGTGCAAGTGTTTTGTAATTGATGTGTCTGCATGCAATGAAAGAGCTGGTATAGGTGCTGTTTTGACTCTGCAGAAGAGCCTAGAAACTGTCAATGGGTTTATGTTTTGCAGTGTCCGTATGAATATCTTAAAGATCTGGCTTGTTTGCTAAATTTAAACCTCAAACCTGTTCATTGTGTGCCCCCAATTCTGACTTTTGCTTCGGTTCATTGATCATATTTCAGGGTATTGGGCAAGTGAGAAACTACTCTCCCTTGGATTCAGAAAGGCTTGCAGTTCATTCATCAAGAGTATCGACTGCTCCTTATGCTAGGTTTCTCTCTCTCTTTCTGTTTCTCATGTGCTTGCACTCACACACCATGCATGCTCACACCTATCTTGGACTGTGATGTTTTGGTGCTTATATGGCAAGAGTGAAGTAGGAGAACATTTCAGGCAACAGGATAAGAAGAAGTTAACTTCTTTTGTGGCATAGAACTTATTTCTTAGCACCTGTTTAGTTATCAGTTTTTGAGAGGACACATACATTAAAAGAAAAGAGAGAAGTAAAAAATGGATCAGATATTCACCAAGGTGATCTATTAACCCCCAAGGAGGAAAGCAAAAACTAAACAAAAAGTATACCCAAAAAATTTTGTGAAAGCTGTGCAAAAAGCCAGATTAGCTATAAGATCTTTACATAAAAACCAGCCCCCAAAACAAAAACAAAATCAGCTAAAAAGAAAGAGGTGTCTTGAAACTTAAGCCCGCAGAGTTGCAAAAAAAAGGCTATTTATTCCACGAGCCAATGAAATCTTCACCTTTAACCTCTTCAAAATTCCTACTGTTTCTTTTACCTAAATCACCCAAAGAGCTACTACCACACATTTGCATTAGGACATCAGTGACAAGAGAGGTTCAAGATTCTTCTTTCTTATTCATAAACCTAAATAAAAGAGGGAGTATTGGTTAGTTGTTTTAATTTTGGTTCAGTTCTATTTTCAGAGAGTTGTTAATCAGCAATTTTTTTTTTGTTGCTTCTAGCTTTGAACTAGTATTGTTTCTGTAAAGAACCAAATTTTGTTGTTCCAGGCTTATCCTAGGTTTTGTGGATAGCTAGTTACTCTTTCATCAATTCTCCTTTGTCACTGACGGAGACAGGGGGCAGAAACTTAGCCTAGATATGTTTAGAATGAAAAAAAAAAAAAGTATAAAAACTAGTTACAAATTTTGTGTACTTGCCTGTTTTTGAAATATATCCTCCATAAATAATTTATCAATCCTATCCTTACATAAAAATTAATGATTTTAGCAATAAGTTGGTGCAATTAGAAGCATTATATGAACAAAATACATAATATTTAATAATCCATTCCTCCAAAATTCTATCGTGTTAAATCATAAGAGAATAAAATTTTCAATTAATAGAATCTCAATTTTGTTATTGAAAAATTTATTTTGACCCAGCGGACCAAAAATTCTGCTTTTGCAGTACAATTATTTTTTCTTACTGTCAGAACCATGAACTTGTACCCTAATATCAGTTCCTGATGTGCAGTGATATCCTTATTCCGAAGAACAAATCGTGTCCTGTGTCTCCCATTGGGAGCCCACTTTTACATCCAAGGTCGCCACAACATCTGAATGGAAGATTATCTCCTTCTCCTATATCTAGCCCAAGGACCACTTCAGGTTCATCCACACCTCTCACAGGTGGCAGTGGTGCTATACCTTTCAATCACTTGAAACAACCAGTTTACTTGCAAGAGGGTTTTGGAAGCATGCCAAAGCCCTCAAATAGTTTTTATTGCAATGGCCCTTTTCAAGATTCAAATTCCGACATTTTTCGAGGGATGCAACCAGGGTCTCACATCTTCTCAGACTTGTTGCCCCCTGAAAATGATGTTCTGGGGAAGCAACTTGGAAGGCCTTTTCATGGGGAACCTTATGATGGACAGTCAATTTTGGCTGATCGTGTATCTCGGCAGCTCCTAAGGGATCAGGTGAAGATGAAGCCATCTCTGGATCTAAGTCCCAGCTCTCCTTTACCCACCAGGACCAGTGGTATCTAATCTTATGCATTTCTCTTTGTGGCGCACCAATCTGAGAGAACTCAGAAGTTTGTCACACTGGATTTTTTTGTCCTGCTGAACACTTTATTTACTGTGCCAACTTCTGAGGAAGCTAATTTTGTCAATAAGGGCTGTAGTGGGAAATCTATGGAGTAAGTTTGGGCAAAGTGGCTGGAGGTGCATGTGTCATTTGCATTGACTTAGTTATCCAGGTTGTCTTTCAGGCTCCTTATTGATGAGTAATCTTAAGCTATTTGACAAAACTGATGGTAGAGTTGAATGTTCAGCAGAATCAATTGATTCAAAATGGAGCTAGCTTCCCAGCAAATAACAAACCTGCCGTTGTGGGTAGTTTGTGATATGATGCGGCATCAACTTTGTACAGAGCTGAGTCCATAAATTGTCATCTAGTGGCTAACTGAATTGTGGTATTAAGAGCTTCTTTTTAATGGGGGAAGATGGCTTCTTTTTAATGGGGGAAGATGGCTTCTTACTTCTGATGATCCAGTGCATGGCCGTTCCTTAAGGAACATAATTAATTGCTATGACTTCAGTACAGTTTTTTAGATCATCGTATAGCAAAAGAAGAGCGATTAAGCTGGTACAATAATTAGCATGTAGACTAATTTTTTTGGGGTTAAACTGCTGTACAGAAGATGGAGAACAGAATCAGGGTTCAAAGTTTGTGTACAAGACAATCATCACAGATTTGTTGAGCCTCTGGGTCTGTTTCTTGTGCATACTATTCAATCCGAATTCCGTTTATGTACATTACCCCTTGAGTTAACTGAAGAGATCTGATGCCATGAATCTGTATTTTCTCACACATGTTTTCAGGAGTCAATACTTTGAACTAGATATTGTAAATGTTCTAAGTTCCAGCAGGTGGTGCTATTTTTACGAGAAAAGAAAGAAATGGGGTTTCATTATTCACTTACGATACGATTTGAGAAAGCAAGTATTTTGAATTTGTTAAGATTTGTGATGCCGTTTTTAGGAGAAGAAGATATGGGGTTGCCCCATCCTCTTATGATATCTTCTGAGAGGGCAATTTTTTTTTTTTTTTTTCAAATGTGTTGTGACTTGAGATGTATGCTTCATCGTTTAGGTTGGAACCGTTCTGATCAAAATATAAAAATCAAGCTATATTAGTTTAGATGCTCGTCTTTCTCTGCATTATTCTAAGGATACAATTAGCAGCAGCCATGACCATGAACATTATTCTCTAGGGTAAACGGAAATCACACTTAGTTGATGGATATCTGATAGGATTTTATAAGACCCTGTCTATAAGGTACAGCTACAGCCATCTCTTAACCAAAATGTCTTGTTTTGTCTCTAAGAAGTATGAGAACATCTGTTAATTAAATCCAAAGCTGAAATCCCAGAGTTTCTTTGCTAACTCAGTATTAGCAGCTTGAGAACTTGGTTGAGCTATGTCACAGTCGGCAAAATAGAGACCGCTAATACCTTTAACTTGGGGATGTAATGCAACATAGCATGTGGTTGCTGCTCCCTACATCCATATCAAATCAAGAAACAAACAAAATACAAATACTCAAGGGCCCGCTCAAAATATAGAAACTTTGTAACACAGCATGTTATAATGTTCAGTGCTGTCAATTTTCCTTAGGACAGTGCAGTTTCCATCAAATGTATTTCATCAAAATTTATGGTAAATGCATCCAATGGACACTGTATGTAATTACCTGCCGAACGTTTTTAATCACATATTTACCAAGAAGACCAAGAAGACCTGCATCAGACCGAAAGAGTCAGAATATCAACATGAAGCCTCGTAACTTCCATGAAAAAAATGTCATAAAAGGGGGAAAGGTTTATAGACTTGAACAAGTGCACTTCTACACACTAAATTTTTTTTCCTGGGTACCAAATGAATGCCCATTTTCTACCCCTTTGTGTTAAAACATGTGTTTCCACACCTTTCATTAATTACCTTAGGCATCAGTTACATCATACTGCAAACACAGGAAATTCAAGTAACAAAATATGTTCATTTCACCTAACATATGCCTCTGGTACTTGTACAAAATAGCAACTCCAAGAATATGACTAGTAGTAAGATGGCAACTGACTGAAAAATCATCTGTATCTGGAAGGCTCACTCATTGACTCTTAAATTTTATGCAATCTGCTGTCAATCAGCATAAGGAGTACAAAAGAAGAGATTTCAGATAGTCTTTTGGTCAGCCTGAAGGGTGAAAAGTATTCGGGAGCACACTAATATACCACTTAGTAAAAGCTAGAAAGCTCAAAACTGCAGGTACGTAACGTATTCTAACTTGTGTTTCTTCAAATGAGCCAAAGCAGTCTAAATTGTTTCTATGTAAATTTATAGAACAAAAAGTAATTTAAAGTAGAGTTAATACCACTGATGAAGCTGTGATGACGAAAGAGATTGGTAGCAATAGCGCCTGGGTGAAGTGAGTTTGCAGTTATCTCCACTCTATCCTCCTGTTTAGGGAACACCCTATTGTTATTTTAGAGCAAAATAAGGTTGGCCTAACTAGGATATCAAGCTTTGCACTAAACAATTATTTGACAATCTTTGAGATGCATGGAATAAGCTGATCATGAACTGTAATGTACTATACTCGGTAAATGAAATAAAAATAACTATAGATTATGACTTATGAATAGCTGTTAATATGAAAGAAGAACACTTCACTAAATTTAAACAGGAGAGACTGCAATACAACCAATCCAATCATAGCTGGGCAAAGGAGTTTAAAACGAAACAATATCATTCCTGAAAAATCAAGATATAATGACTTGTAATCAACAGCCTTGAACGAAGAACTCGCACACCTTTAAACGCCTTGCCAGTTCATTTGCATGCAGAACATTAGCAAGCTTTGACTGGCCATATGCAGATAGACAGTTGTACCTATACATTGTCAAGTCCATACATTTAAGATAATGAAGGTATACTTCATATTTGATGACCACTTTCAAAAATAAATGCTGCATAAACACCTTATAAGCTATGGTCAAGACCTAACTATATCTAAATGAAAGCCTACCAACATGCTTACAAGCTAAGATCCATTAGTCACAAGCAGGCTGGAGGAGCTTACACTTTGACATCATTTTGCCTCATGCTTTGAATTTACCAGACGAAAATCTAAATGAAAAGTGACTTATTTTAGCCAGGTTTAGTTTCTGTGATCACAATGGCAAACTCAAGCACACAACATGGTTTAAGCATCATAGAATGTAGAAAATATCATTTAAGTAAAGTACTTGTAAATCAATTACAGCGTAGTTACAGACGGCAATATGATAATGTTACCCAGATTGATCATTGATTTTATCAAATCGAATGCCTTCTGGATATGAGAATTTGTGACGACGTGAAGAGACATTTACAATCCTTCCTTCTTTCTTGCTTTCACGTGCTGTTCTTTTCATGGTGTCTAACAATAGATTTGTCAAAAGGAAATGACCTGCAAGAATATAACAACTCAAAAATATAGGCTGACTCATCTTAGCAGATTAGAAGTTTCTTCTTGACTTGTAAACCATTTTGGAATATTTTCAAATAACCATTGAGCTTTTCATCATTTTGGCTGAGAAGAACAGAGTTTAAGATTTTAAACAATTATCGATTGATGATTAAATACATGAAACACCGTATAGTTTTACCATCATTTGGGTAAACCAAAAGCTATCCCTTCCTCCTGTTAATTTTCTTGCACAATACAAATTAAAAATAATTAATGTGTCTCACCTATGTGATTTGTAGCAAATTGTAGTTCTATTTTGTCTTTGGAAAGCATGAATGGAGTTGCCATGACTCCTGCATTATTACTTAGAAATATATAATGCTCTCAGTGAGTTTTTCAGATAAAACAATACACTAGTAAAAAACTAAAAATAAGAAATTTTAGGGGCAGCACTGATATTAAGCCATATTCACAAACCAAGAATGACCAAAAGAAAATTGACAGAGTATCCTCCATCTCTAATCCAAATGTTCAATGATCTTACATGAGAAGGTTTAGCGGAAGACCCAATGACTTGAAATCTGCAGCAAATTTCCTGACTGACGCCATTGAACTTAAATCTAATTCCATGGCAGAAAGCTTTGCACTGGGATTTTCCTTAACTATTGCTTCTTTGACCTCACTCCCAGCTGCCATGTTCCGTACTCCCATAACTACATGAACACCACGCAATGCAAGAACCCGGGCAGTTTCGGTTCCGATACCACTCGATGCTCCTATAACAAGAGCAACCACCTCAAAATGAACAATTGAGTGCGCTTACAAGAAAGTTTTACCAGGGATTTCATAAAAATAGGTAACCCAATCGGTCAAAGCCAATATAATGGATTCAAAATTCGTCTCCAAGGTTTTGTCAGAATGTTGTTTAGTTCGAAAACTTTGTGTAATTCTTTTTGGTGGAATTCATTGAATTGCGGGTTTCAAGTCTGTGTAAGTTATAATGAAATCTCGAATAAAAGGAAAATTGTCCGTAAATCATATAATTGAGAGCATAATAAAATGAAAGGGGTAAGAAAAAAGACCAGTAACAATAGCAGTAAGAGAGGTGCCATCAATCCCTTGAGTAACTTGTTCTGCAGTTGAAGAAGATGAGAACCCAGAAGCTCCTTTTCTATTAAACCACCACATCCTCTTTCCTTCAGATGCAGTGTCACAGTCACAGATACAACACATGAACCCACTCACAACCCATATTCAATACCAGTAAAACTTTCTCTCATTAAAAACGGTAAATAATTGTTTTCTAATATTTATTAATCTGGATTTTTTTTTCAGAAAAAAATTTGGGTAAATTGATAAATATCATATCACCTAGACCAATCTAATTATAATTCTATTACTATTATAGAATGTCACCTTATTCAAATGAGTAAGATACAGTAATAAGAACAGGCACACTGAGAATACCACAATCTCTTTTGCAATTACAGAACAAACATTTACATACTGGGAAGCACTCTGCACTCATTCATTGTCAAGTACAGGTAGTTATAATATTTTAATTACTCAACATCATTTAATTAAATTCATGCTGAAATCCCAAAGCGTCTTTGCCATATCCGTATCACTAGCAGGTGCGGTTGTGTTCGCCACGGTACAGTCAACAAAGGCACAAAGTACTCCCCTCTTATACCCTAGACTTGGGGATGTAACGCCATATAGCATGTGGTCACAGCTCCCTGTAACTCGATTTACGAATTTACACAATCTAAAATGTAAGAAATCAGAAGCAGTACGAAGAGGTCAAATTTTTCATTAGTTTCAGTGGACTTGGAACTGAACTGTTGGCCAAGGGAAATCAATAGACAGGTATCACAGTTTGCTGGTATGAAAAACTACATAATCAATTCTAAATGGAAGACACAGATGAGAGCATCGAATAAAAAAATAAAAGAAAAGCTTGCAGAAAGAATAGTTAATGCTCCTCGGGAGGTCCTTGTATCTTGGTCCATTGATTCGGTAAACAGGTGTTCCGTGACCCTTTGTGCCCGGATACCTTAGTTAATAAAAAAAAAAAAACTACTTTTTTGGGTTTGAATTTATAGAAAATGGTGATTTTGTTTTTTACCTGATTGCACATTAGTTTTCAGAGCTGTATTGTGTAGTTATAAGGAAATATATATATCTTTAAGATAATATAATAGTATTTAGGATGCAAAAAGGCTAGAAATATAAACTTATGCCCTGTGGTGCATGACACTAATAAATTACCATATACTGTACTTTTATCTTGTCGACTTGAAAATATAAGTATGATAGATAAATAATTAAAAAGAAAAAAGAAAAAAGAAAAAAGCCAAATTCTATCTAACAATATAACAAACAAGCATTGGTGACACTATCAAATTGAATAAGATACAGTAATAATAGATCAGGCACAGTACAATCTCTTTTGCAATTACAGAACCAAACATTTACTTAGTTATTGGCAAGCATTCTCTGTCGGCTACAACTTATTGCTCACCATGTACACGGCTGGCTTGGCTAGAAGCTACATCATTTAATTAAATTCACGCTGAAATCCCAGAGCTTCTTTGCCATATCCATATCCTTACCCTGTGCGGTTGTCTTCGCCAAGTTACTGTCAGAGAAGTACTCCCCACTTATCCCCTGGACTTGGGGGTGTAAAGCCACATAGCATGTCGTAGCAGCTCCCTGTAATTCGTATCAGAAATTAGAAGCAGGCTTGTGTAATGAAATTTATCCGTTGGTTTCGGTGGACTAAAAAATTAAGCCAACAGAAAATATAGAGCAGGTGTTATAATATGCTGGTATGCATAACCTGGCCTAGCAGATACTGGTTTAACATATTAATTTCAGATAAAATTTAAAATTCATTTCTCCACAGAGTTTTGTCAAAAGTTTGGAAGGTAGGTATACTTTAAAGAAGCACAACTCTTTAGCAACCGTTTCAAGAATGTGAACAAGAATCTCCACTCACATGCTGAACAGTTTAATGTGATATACAACTTACCTGCTTAACATCTTTAAGCACGAACTTTCCAACCGTATTACAAAGGCCTGCATCAAAACCAGAAAAAAGCTGAGAGACCATGAAAGGCATTTGCAGCAAATGGATGACTGTTAACTATATGGCAAATACATGGGAACACATTAACAATGAGAAAATCCTTTTGATAAGTGTACTTAATTCAACTCATTCCACGCTATAAAATTAAAATGGCCTAAAACAAAATAAGTTCAAACAGGAGTTCAAGCAAAGAGTTAACCAATCTACATTAATTTTCTCTAAACGCAACAACTCTCACCCCATCTCTCAGGTTGTTTATTAACCACAAAATAGTTTGCCTCGTCCACTTACACCTAAGATTTTTGTCATTACATGAAATGCTGAGTGCTACCTCTTATGAATCCATTATAACGGAAAAGATTTGTAACAATTGATCCTGGATGAAGCGAATTTGCAGTTATATTCGCTCCTTCTTCCTGTTCAGAACCAAGCACCCGTTTTACAGTGTCCATTATGTACATGGCAAGCACATTAAACACATACATGTTTGTGTGATTATAAAGCTGATCTTGTCAATGGTTTGTACACAAAATGAATGGTGTGCATGGGTTAAAGCTGATATTGTCAGAGGTGGTGCATTGTGCAGTTAAGCACCAAAACTCTTTGAAAAAAAATACGCTCTCCTTGTTCAACAAAAGTTGAACCTTCAATCTTTTTGCAAGCTCAATAGCATGCAAAAATGTTGCAAGGTTCGATTGATTTAACCATATACACCAAAGCCCCAATACCTTTAAAACCATAATATTTAATAATCTATGTTTGATATCATCTAGCATAGACTATAATTATTTCTAAATTATGGAGGTGACATGTATTCTTATTTATATAGCCCCTTTTGGTTTCCAATTTTAAAATAAGAAATAATTTTATATGTTAGAAATTGAATATATTATCTTTAAACTCTCGTTGTGATCGAATCCAAATGACAAACCCAACCCTTTAATTAGTGAGTTTAGTTATAGTCAAGAGGTCCTTGTATTCGAATCGATTAATTATCTTGGTCCACTGATTTGTTAAACATGTGTTACATGACCCTTTGTGCCCGGATCCCTTAGTGAATAAAAAAAAAAAAACACTTTTTTTTTGGGTTTGAATTTATAGAAAATCGTGAATTTTTTTTTTTTACCTGGTTGCACGTTAGTTTTTAACCTAGTTAGTAAATACAGGTACGATAAAAAAATGATACATAAATTTTATAAGTATAATACAATAAATAATAAAAAATACGTTTGTAAAAATTTGAATACAAAAAAAATACGGTACAGGTTTAATACGACACATTGTCAATAATACGTTTAAAAAAATACAACAATATCAATCATAGTTTTAACACTTTTTATAGGTCATTTAGTTAAAATCTATATAGTATTTCAAATATACGAGTAAAAGTACGAAAATTTTATGAGTATAATACAACAAACGGTGAAAAATATGTTTGTAAAAATTCAACAAAAATTCGGATACAAGAATAATTCACAAATAATACGACTGAGCTGATAAAATATCGACAATTCGCAAATAATACGCGAATTTACTAACTAAGGTCTTTAGAGCTGTATTGTGTAGTTATAAGGAAACATATATATCTTTAAGATAATATAATAGTATTTAGGATGCAAAAAGGCTAGAAATATAAACTTAAGTCCTGTGGTGCATGACACTAATAAATTACCATATACTGTATTTCTATCTTGTCGACTTGAAAATATAAGTATGATAGAAAAATAATTAAAAAGAAAAAAGCCAAATTCTATCTAACAATATAACAAACAAGCATTGGTGACACTATCAAATTGAATAAGATACAGTAATAATATATCAGGCACACTACAATCTCTTTTGCAATTACAGAACCAAACATTTACTTGGTTATTGGCAAGCATTCTCTGTCGGCTACAACTTATTGCTCACCATGTATACGTCTGGCTTGGCTAGAAGCTACATCATTTAATTAAATTCACGCTGAAATCCCAGAGCTTCTTCGCCATATCCATATCCTTACCCTGTGCGGTTGTCTTCGCCAAGTTACTGTCAGAGAAGTACTCCCCACTTATCCCCTGGACTTGGGGGTGTAAAGCCACATAGCATGTCGTAGCAGCTCCCTGTAATTCGTATCAGAAATTAGAAGCAGGCTTGTATAATGAAATTTATCCGTTGGTTTCGGTGGACTAAACAATTAAGCCAACAGAAAATACAGAGCAGGTGTTATAATATGCTGGTATGCATAACCTGGCCTAGCAGATACTGGTTTAACATATTAATTTCTGATAAAATTTAAAATTCATTTCTCTACAGAGCTTTGTCAAAAGTTTGGAAGGTAGGTATACTTTAAAGAAGCACAACTCTTTAGCAACCGTTTCAAGAATGTGAACAACAATCTCCACTTACATGCTGAACAGTTTAATGTGATATACAACTTACCTGCTTAACATCTTTAAGCACGAACTTTCCAACCGTATTACAAAGGCCTGCATCAAAACCAGAAAAAAGATGAGAGACCATGAAAGGCATTTGCAGCAAATGGATGACTGTTAACTATATGGCAAATACATGGGAACACATTAACAATGAGAAAATCCTTTTGATAAGTGTACTTAATTCAACTCATTCCACGCTATAAAATTAAAATGGCCTAAAACAAAATAAGTTCAAACAGGAGTTCAAGCAAAGAGTTAACCAATCTACATTAATTTTCTCTGTTAGAAGTTGAATTTGTCCCACATCGCCCCAATAGTGGGCTGTTATGGTGCATATAAGTGATTGGGCTCCCTCCTCCCTTGAGCTAGCTTTTGGGAGTAAGTTTTACCCAAGCCCACTTTATCATGGTATCAGAGTCACGTTTGTTTCTCTCCCCTCTTTGGTTGGGACGATGATAGGTTTGGATCCCGACCTTGCACGCCGAGCATGAGGGAGGGTGTTAGAAGTTGAATTTGTCTCACATCGCCCCAATAGTGGACTGTTATGGTGTATATAAGTGATTGGGCTCCCTCCTCCCTTGAACTAGCTTTTGAGAGTGAGTTCTACCCAAGCCTACTTTATCATTCTCTAAAGCAACAACTCACCCCATCTCTCATGTTGTTTATTAACCACAAAATGAGTTTGCCTCAGTACACTTACACCTAAGATTTTATTGTCATTACATGAAATGCTGAAGTGCTTACCTCTTATGAATCCATTATAACGGAAAAGATTTGTAACAATTGATCCTGGATGAAGCGAATTTGCAGTTATATTCGCTCCTTCTTCCTGTTCAGAGAACCAAGCACCCGTTTTAACAGTGTCCATTATGTACATGGCAAGCAAACATTGAAACACATACATGTTTGTGTGATTATAAAGCTGATCTTGTCAATGGTTTGTACACAAAATGAATGTGTGTGCATGGTTAAAGCTGATATTTGTCAGAGGTGGTGCATTGTGCAGTTGAGCACCAAAAACTCTTTGAAAAAAAATTTAAGCACTCTTTTAACAAAAAGTCAACCTTCAATTGTTTTGCAAGCTCATTAGCATGCAAAATGTTGGCAAGCTTCGATTGACCATATGCACCAAAACTGCTGTACCTGTCCACAAGCAAGGGCAAATAATCAAAATAATTGTGCATAATTCAATGTAAGTGCCTGAAAATTCAACATGTTTATGAGGGGTCAACTTTATAGGACTTAATATGACACAAAAAAAAATTATCTAAATAATACTTCTGAATGAAGTATTAGCATATTCTAGAGTGAATATGCATTAATATAATTAAATGAACAAGGCAGACATGCAATCTATAAACATAAAATCCGAGCTTAAATTAGTATCCATCCTGTAGCCTGTATAAAAGCATGCTATATTCCCAAACAAACATCTCCTGTTAAGCAACTTCAGAGGTTAATTAATAATTGTATAACCCAACTAAACAACCCAAATTGAGCACACTTGATTGGTCAATGAATGATTGCCAAAGATGCCATCTTGGAAGTAGAAAACAAAAAGTATATTTCTGGTTTGGGGTGGATGGTTTTACCCTGATTCATCATTAATTTTGTCAAAACGAATTCCTTCACGATATGCAAATCGGTGAGCCTCTGAGGAGACATTTACAATTCTTCCTTCCCTGTTACTCTTCTGCGCTGTCTTCTTCATAGTATCCAATAAAAGACTAGTCAAAAGAAAATGACCTGCAGATTGTATCAGAAAGCAAGGATTAGCCGACTAACAGCCACCACAATGTCATCCAAAGTAAAATAGGAAAGATTTTTTTAAGACTACTAATTTGTTGCAATTCTTTAGAGAAAAACAGATGGTGAGTGGCAAGTAATATGTGCCAAAACAAAAATATCTAATATTAGCTAACAGTTAATAAGATGGAAAATATTTGTTGATTCTGGGCACTGATACTACAGCTTAAGAGTATCAAGATTACACTATATCCCTGAAATATATGTAACTCACCTACATAATTTGTAGCAAACTGCATCTCTATATTGTCCTTGGAAAGCATGAATGGGCATGCCATAATTCCTGCATTGTTTCTTGCAGTAGAAAAGAAAGCTAGTACTTATAGAATAATTCCTTGTGCTTATCAAGCCAAAGAGATAAAAATGAGCAAATTTATTTATGCAAGTAAAAACAAAAGAGGTAAAGACCAAAAGAAATTAAGACAGTCGCACAAAGAGAGTATAAGACAAGTTAAATGTGTGAATTAGTACTTGAAAATGTAAAACAGTAAAAGACCTCTACCATTGTAGCACTTATTATTTTCTTACATTAAGAGATTCAGTGGCAGACCCTGGTTATCGAAATCTGTTGCAAATCTCCTCACAGATGCCATGGAACTGAGATCCAACTCCATGGCATCAACTTTAGCATTGGGGACTTCCTTGACTATTGCTTCTTTGACATCTCTAGCAGCAGTCATATTCCTTACACCCATAATAACATGGACCCCATGCAATGCAAGGACACGTGTAGTTTCAGTGCCAATACCGCTAGTTGCTCCTGTAACCACACCGGGCATGAGGAAAAAGTACACAAGTTAGCACAAACACCAAATAGCCAATTAAAAAAAAAAAAAAAAAAAAAAAAAGTTACCCTTGATGTTTGTGCAACTCTTACCCAAGTCGGAAGTGACAATTAGACAAATGTCTATTTAACCAAGGAGCATAGGGATCAAGTTCAATCTTCACATTTAAAGTGAAATCCAAGAAAAAAAAATATCAAATTAACATGCAAGTGACAAAACCCTTTCTTGAGTAAGAAAAAACTGAAAAGTTCTTCAGGTAAATCCCTCAAATACTATTCAACAACAATACATCAGATGAACATAGAAGTCCAAGTGACAGTACCCTTTATTGATACATCATAAATTCTCATTTATCAACTACACTGCTTTATCCTTATTATACATAAGTTATATGTATAGTACTACTCTATAAGTTAATTATTTAGCACAAGGAGGGTGAAGGCATCCCTGATAAAAGGTATGACTCACAGGATGAACTCGAACTTCCATGAAGGTAAATTAGCAGATATATAGTTAGCAATTTGAACTTGGTTTTTTTATTATTAAACGTATTGCAAATGACCAGACCAGATGCTAATCGAAGTCAAAATTAATCCAGCTAATATAAAACACTGCAGACCAAAAGAAGATCAAGAAACAAAAAATTAAAAGAAAAAAAATCCCCTTTTAGCCGTAAAGAATTAAATGCTCTCATCTATCATTTAGGTAAAACCATAAAACATATGGTATGGACTACACAATGTATCAACCAATATTGTTAAAAAATAATGATGCCAAAAACAACATAGAAATTATCTTCTACAGTACCAAATGAATAATTAGCAAATCCTAAAACCAACCGAAAAAAAAAAAAAAAAACAGATCTTATTGTATAAGAACAATTGGGAAAAAATAAAACCTGTAACAATGGCAGTGAGACCAGTCCCATCAATTCCTTCTGTAACTTCCGCGGCTGTTGAAGAAGATGAGAACCCGGATGGCCCTTTTCTACCAAACAACCACATCTTCTCTCTTTTCACAAAATCCAAACTCACTCACACGCGTAATAGGCTTACAGGATTGAAGAAAAAATCAAGAACTGGTGGCAATTTATATGGTTCAAAAAGTTGTTCAGTCCATTTGAAAGCTGAAACGGGACCGTTTCATTCATTGTAACATGACGTACTGCACAGCATAATTATAGACAGGGGTGTTCTGTTCGGATACCCTGTATTTTTTTAAGGAACCAGAATCAGAATCAGAATCAGAATCAGAATCAACGGTTTCTTGAAATTTGGAACCAGAACTGAAACCGACGGTTTCGGTTCCTAGGTACCCAGAACCAGAACCTATAACAACGGTTCCGGTTTTGATTCTAGGTACCTTGTAAAATTCATGACCCCCAAAAGTTTTTAAAATGGTAAAAAAACCTTTAAAAAATTACAAATAACCCCCACTTGGCACTTGTTAACAAAAATAAAATTACAAATTATAAATTAAAAATTAAAAACTTCATTACTTTGTAAATATAGATTCTCAAAAGTCAAACAAACTTACTTTAAATGTTATAAAATATAAATATAAATGTATTCACATTACTTTTTTTATAAAAGTTTTTATTAACCCTTCTAATCTTTAATTTTATTTTATATTAGTCTCAGTTTCTAGTTTCTGATTATGGTTTTGATTTCTAACTATAGAAATCAGAACTACAACCGTATAATAATGGTTTCAAAAATTTGAAATCGAAATCTATTTATTAATGACTGATTTTGAATAAGAATTAGAACTAAATCAAAGATATCTGTCGATTCTGGTTCGATCCAATTCTTTTGAACACTCCTAATTATAGTGACTATCTACTCCGTTGTCGTCTGAAGTAATATATAGTAATTCTTGACACGTGTTTCGTTCTCTATTAAGTTAACAGTTACGTCTTTTCTATTTTTATTATATTCAGGAGGAAGTTGTCCCTTGTACGCAACTACGCGTTGTGAAGCAGCTATCATTACTTCTTTTACAACCATCCGCGCGACAATTCCTAATTAGGTAACTCGCAAATAAGTTACTGGATTCGGCGTACATCCAATTGTTTTTAATATGGACAAAAGTTTTCATAATATTAACAAATTTTGAAATTTAAATTTATTTAGTGCATTAATTGTCCGACAAAAGTTATTTAATATATTAATTTATTTAATTAGGCGTCCATTCAATTGCTTTAAATATAGACAAAAATTTAATAAAATTTGTCCAATTACTTTAAACATTGACAAAAATTAAATGGCAAAAATTGAATGAATATAAATAATGGACAGGACGAATGTCCACTCAATGCAAACTTTTTAAAATTGTCCATCTTATATGAAGTTCGTTTATAATAATGCAAATTTTTTAAAATTGTTTATCTTATATGAACGTTCATCTATATTAAATAGATATTTATCATCTATTATTTTCTTTTTTAAATTTTTTAGATGGGTGTCCATCTCAAATAGGCATTCGTCTCTAATAAATAAATACTCATCTATATAATATGAACAAAAATCTATTAAATATAAACGAACATCTATAAATATTAGATGACTATTAATTCGTGAAAAATTCTAGTACAGTCACGTTTAATTGATTGTCATATCCTTAAGTAACAAACCTTCAATGTAAAATTTCGATTGTCCGTACCATTACTCATTTTTTTCTTTTTCGTTTTCTTCCGGGGGTGTTTGTCTAAGCTTATAAGCTGGTCAAACTTGCTTATAAGCTCTAAAATTAAGCTGACCTGTTTGTTTATAACTTTTTTGAGCTTATAAATTGAGCTTATAAGCAAAAAAAAATAAGTTGGGGGGGAGGTACTTTTTTTTTTTAGCTTATAAGCACTTTGCTTATAAGCTAGTTTGACCAAGTATATTACCACATTATCCTTGTTTAATTTTAAAATTTCATAGTATGTCCTTGTTTAATGTAATATATTTTTTAGTCATTTTACAATAAAATATACTTATAAGCCACATTTTACCAAACACGTCAATTACTTATTAGTCACTTATAAGTACTTTAACCAAACACGTAATTGCTTAAAATTTCAAATGCTTATGAGTTAATTTTTGCTTATAAGTAATTGTTGCTTATAAACTAATTTTCATAAGCTCAGACAAACACCACCTCCGTCTCGTCTCTTCTTCTCTTTCTTCGGTACTTTCTTCTCCCCTTCATTTACATTTTCTTCTATATTTCTTATATCAGTTCTTCTCATTTTCTTTTTTTTCTTTTTAATCACTTTCTTTTCACTTCTTCTGCGGCTCTGCCCCTACCCAAGTTTACTTCTCCTGCTCATCCCCACAACAAGGGCTATGGCAGCATAGTCGTTTGCCTCTCTAACCAAAATTCTTCGAACCGAACTTCTTAACAAGATTTTATCTTATAATAACAAAACAAGATTAGATAAGCAAATGGGTTTCATTTTTTTTTTTTTAATTGAAGGTAATTAAAAAAAAAAGAAGGGAATTAGTGAGAAGAAAGTATCGGCAACGAAGAGATAATTTCCACTGAAAGTGAGAAGATTTTTTTAGTGCGTTGAGCTTAAACCTATTTTGTTTCAGATCGTTAAAACACCAGAAAATGCCATAGCCCTTGTTGTGGGGATGAGCAGGAAAAATAAACTTGGGTAGGGGTAGATTTGCTCACTTTGTTCTCATTTGAGATTTGATTAAACGTTTCATATTTTTTTAATCATTTTTTTGCTTAATCACTTTAGAAAGAAAATAGGTGGTAACCATTCAGCTTTATAATCATCCACACTTTAATTTTAAATTTTAATTTTTGTCAGCAAAATGTTAATAGACTATCATGTCCTTATTCATAACAAATTTTTTTACCATCATACCCTTCGTCACATCAAAATTACTAACAAAATTATATTTTGAATAGTAAAATAGTATTACCAAAGAGGTGAGAAAGTGTCATTAAAAGCATTATTTAGGTGGGAAAAAGTTGGTTACTCATATATATATATATATATATAATTTATGATGAGAATGCTCGAATCAATTTACGTCTACCTCAATTAATTTTTTGAGATCCTATAACTATTGGCTGAACAAAAGCTCAAGTGACTACTCCTATTAGTATCTGAGGAAGGAGTTTAATCAAAATCTCTTGAATAATATACTCAAGAATCTATATTGAACCACTTAACCACTTAAAAGTAGTTAATATGTATTCATATTTATTTCAGGCTTGGTTGCAATTTATAATATTTCTTAAAATAACCTACCATAAATTTTTTTAATTGTATGTATACATATTTTTTTATACCTTAATAAATGTTTCATGCGATCTTTAAACTTTATTTTAGAGTTAAAATCTATAGAAAACATATAAAAGAAAAAATGTTACTTTTTATATCTTAAACTTTGAGGATGGACAACAATTATTTGATGATTATGGAGGTGACATGTATTTTTATTTATTCAATGTCATTGTGCACAACTCAACTAATTCCTTTATGAACACCTTATACGCTCAATAAGTCAAGACTAATCTTTAGGGTCCATATAATCTTAGTATCCATTAAATATCTTATAAGCCCAATAAACCATGTGAGTCACAATGTGATAGGTGTACTTTGTGAGACTCGAATCCGTTGAACACCTTATAAACCCAATAAATTGATAAGTACAAATGTAATAGAAACACTTTGTGTGACTCAAACACAAAAGTTATGGGTAACAACTTAGATGGCTAAAGTCTTGTCATCTACCATAAACTAAGTAGTTGCTTTTATATTTCATGTTTTCAAGTATGAAAAACTACGCTAAATTTTAGATAAATTTTTGTATACCATAAGTTTATATTTTAATACAATCCACATGTCTTACAAAATTATTTATAACACTTTTGAAATTTATTATGTTTAGGGTAGGCCAATAATAATAATAATCAAGGTTTTAAAACCCGGCCGATTTGATCGGTTCGACTGGAAACCGCTCACTAAGCTGGCCCGGGCAAGACTAAATACTACGAAGGGGGTTTCACCTGGGGTTGGATCGGTGGAATTGTAGCGACCCGCCGGTCCAACCAGTTTTTAGGATAAACCGGGTGAAACAAAATCCCCCATCTTCATTAGCTGGCTTAAACCGATCTTTCCCCTTTTTTCTTTCCATCGACATCGAGCTATAACTTCAGTCTCTCATTTTGCGATCTCACGTTTCATCGTCAATTTCTTGCTTTCATCTTCATCAGCGACAGCCAGAAGCTTGCTTTCATCTTCGACAGCAACTCATTTTGTTTTCCAGCCGTCGTGCTTCTTGTTTGATTTTTGGCGAGACTTCGAGGTACCCATCTTCATTTCATCTGGAAAAGTAACGATTAATCACTTGTTCAGCTATTTGATTGATTTTGTTTGGTTTGCAATTTTGATGTCTGCCCTGTTGTGTTGAATTTAGAGTGCGATGGGTTTAAGTTGTTTGTTTGAAGTGATTTCTTGCTGTGTTTGAACTTTGAAGTGAATTGTTGCTATGGTCAACATTGAAGTGCCTTAAGTATTTCTCTCAATCATTGATCACTGGCAGTTCAAGACTAGCATCTATTGATATCTTCTCTTAGAATTATTTATAATTCTTATTAAATCTCCATTTGAATTAAATATAATATAAGATTTAATAATAATTAATTTAATTATAGGGTATATTGGTTTTTAATCTTTAATGGAAATGTGTGATGTTTGCAGTAATATAAAAGGTGGATCCTCTTTCTATTTTCATATATACGCAAATTTTTTTTCCCTGTCCATCAAAAAAGTTTACGATTACAGAAGAGAAGAAAATGAGAGAAATGTTGTCTGATTTAACCAAGATTCAAATTTTAATTTTTAAATTATAGAATTAAGTATGTATTTCTTTTATATATATATATATATATAAAAGTTGATCAAGTTTCAATAAATTATGTTTAGTCTTCTAACTGACTGAAAATGAAACTTGTATGTAGCTCTCATTTTCCAAGCAGTCCTTTTTGCGTGTTCATTACCAAATAATGAGAGCATTAATCTTATATTTACTTTACACATTTGGTACGTGGTTAGGAAGTAGCCAGGAGCTGCAGAACAAGGTCACCATGATTGTAATTATGACTCTGATGACTTTAACAACTTTTTTTTGACTTGTTGCAGTTTCCTTTTAATGTTGTGGGGGAGGAAGATCAATTATGGCATGGGGGCATTTTTTACTTGACAACGATGATAATGATATGTGACCTGTCATATGGTGACTTGAGGATGGATTGCAGAATGGAGTTTGGAGACCATTTTTTTGCTAAAATGTGTATCAATTATTATGTGATTTTTTTTTATGAATTTTGTTATTTTGAACCTAAATCAGTTGTAACATGGATTATATCGACGTTATTTTATGTTTGTTAAAGAATTTATCTCATAAAATTTAGGATCCGTTTGGTTTACTCTTGAGAATATTATACTATTATTAGTATTTTCTAATAAAGTTAAATAGTAAAAATGACTTATTTTTAAAATATTATTCTATATTATTTAATTTATTTTAAACCTCTTAAATTTGTTAATTTAATTAAATACCCTAAATATATTTTTTAGAAATTACAAAAACACTTTGGCTATCCTTCAACGGTGGTGATCGGCTGTTCGTATTTACTGAGTAGATTGAGGGTGTTTTTGTTAACTTTTAATATTTTATTATAGGGGTGTTTAGTACATAAACAAACATAAGAGGTATTTTTGTTAATTTTTAAATCGTACCCCGCCCAATTTAATTTTTTTCAAAATATTATTCTATAAACTATAATAATAATAAACCAAACAATCTTAAATTTTTTTATGTTGACATCAATATGTCAGCATGATGACATCAACCTGAATCAGTTGAATCAGACCCGACACCCGACCAAATTGTCGGGTTTCGTTTTTAAAACATCGATGATAATATTGCCAATTTAAGGCATGTGAGTTAAATGAAATAATCTTTTCATATGACAGTTTTATGTCATTTCACCTTTAAGACGACATGCATACGAAAGAAACATATAACAAACCGACTCAACATTACCGCCAGAAGAAGAATGATTGGGCCTTCTCTTCGGCCCAAAACAAAAACAAATTGGACCAGCCCGATATCAAACCCTAACTACCGGCACGTGCACCGGTACCGTACCAATCGATAGAGTCACGTGCAGAACTCAACAGCCGGCAATCAATCCCAATAGAGAAAACGCAGAGATTACAAACCCTAGCTCCAGCTCATTTCTTCCCGTTTTCACTGTCTCCGTTTCTCTCTGTAAAAAAATTATCTCCGTTTCAGCCTCGTTCTCAAGGTAATCTAAGCTCTCTCTCGCGAAACGCATAATAAATTATGTGTGCATATTGACTATGGACTTAATTAACGAATGTTAATTTGGTTTTTCTTTAGAATATTGGTTGATAGTTAATCGAACTTAGTTTGAACATAGGATATGAAATTGGGAAGAGATTATGGATTTTTGTTGTATTTGTTGCAAATACACTAATGATTTTTTTGAGCTAACTCCTGGAAATGGACAATAGTTTATGGTTTTGGATAGGGAGTCTTTGTGATTGGTTACTTGTGCTTAATTTTTAAGGTATTTGGGACTTTATGGCTGATTATAATGATGATAAAAAATTGAAAGTTAGGAAATTTGACAATAGAAAATCTCTGGATGTGGAGACTAGTAGCATAGTCCATTGTAGCTTCATATGTCTCATAAAATTAAGATTCTTGCGGGACCTTTATTGTAAATCATTTTTTGTTTGGAAAAACTTTTTAAGTCTTGAAGAATGTCTTTAGAAAAATGTTTTGGGTTGTTGCATCACAAAAACAAGTGAAATTCATTAATTAGACAATGGCAATGCCAAGGTTTTCTTATATCTCAAACTGTGAAATATGGGGGAACGGTATCTGTTTCTTTTTATCATCTGATTTTGTAGTTTGTAATATTGAGACAATTTCTAGTAACTTGCTTTTTGTAAGTGACACGTGTGTACTATTTAAATATGATCTCGAAGGGCTTTCATTTTTTTGTTTTGAAGTATAGTCTTTTAATGTTTACACAAAATCGGAAGAAATTTGATTACTTATTAAAATGTTGACTTATATTTTGTTGCCATTTGTAATTGTTTTGAGTTAATTATTTGTTGTCTTCTAATGCAGTTTCAAGTGTAACATCTCATGTTTTGTTTACCATATTACTTTCTGCTTTGCTTTTAAGTAGCGTGACAACTGAAAAGATCTGAGGAAGCTTTCCTTACAAGAATGTTCTTACACTTACTATCGAGATTCAGAATCCAGTCAATTTGGAAAGCGTTGATGAAAAGTTATTACCCACCTAATAAAGTTAATCTTTTGAAGAACAGGAGGCCCTCGCTGCCGATGTTATTTGGTTGTTTTTGAAACCATAGGTGCAAGGTTGTTCGTTTTCCAGAGCTCCTAAAAGCTTTTTATTGGTGTCCTTGTCTAATGTCAGAAGGCATAATGGCTGTAGTCAAACCAGAGGTATGTCACATAACTGTTAAATGAGTTTTAACTTTTGGTCCTACTGTATTTCTTTGTGCTCTTCAAATGGGTTAATAGAAAGAGATATACCAGATTACTTGTTCTCTGGAAATATTTTTATTCGAACTATTGGTTGATAATGATCTATCTAGTCTTAATGAGCCACTTGTTGCTTGAATGACCATAAGGGGTTTTCCGTGGTCTAGGTAAATAATTTAGGGTCTATGAACTAGGGTATGTTAAGATTTTTATTAACTAGCTTTTTCTTTGGCATTTATATTCACGGGATGTCACTGTAATAATTATTTTTCCTCTGTAAGTTCTCTTATTACTATGCAGAAGTCATTGGGTTTGAGACTTGGCCTATGTCTTACTCTGATCAAACTAATACCGTATGTATATTTTTGTTGCCTTTAACAACCTGGTTTTTATTCTTACATAGTTTTGGTTGTGGTTTTATGAATTAGATGAAGTCTTATATTTGGATTCAAACTGCTGATGGTTCAATCCAGCAAGTAGAAGAGGAAGTAGCCATGTTTTGTCCCATGATATGCCGAGAAATTCTTCAAACAGGCATGGGTTCTTCAAAAAATTATGCTATACCTCTTCCACAAAGGGTCAATCCTCCCATTTTTGGCTTAATACTTGATTATTGCCGGTTTCATCAAGTACCCGGCCGCTCGAATAAGGTATGTTCTGTTCTCTCTGTTTCTTGCATAGCTTCTTTGCATCTGTAAGACAACTTTTCTCCTAGATTATATTTTAGTGACTAGATGAAGGACATTTGAACCGCTAAGTACTGTTCCATGGGAAGGTTTGTTGAAGATCAGGGGAAGTTCTTTCTTTTCTTTTCCTTGGTGTGCATGTGGTCGGGGGAACGGTTTGTTGAATAAGACTACAAGGTTTGTAGATTGATTCCAAATAGTTGAACCTTTGAATTTGAATGCGATCATTTCTAGGAGCGCAAAATTTTTGATGAGAAGTTTGTTCGGATGGATACAAAAAGGTTGTGCGAACTGATTTCAGCTGCTGACAGCCTCCAATTGAAGCCTTTGGTTGATCTCACTAGTCGTGCACTGGCTAGAATTATTGAAGGAAAATCTCCCGAGGAAATACGTGAGACATTTCATTTGCCCGATGATCTCACAGAGGTGTGTGCTGCTAGAAAGAGACCAATGTCTTTAATGTTTGGTTTACCTTTGTGGTTTTTCATGTAAAATTGGTTGTCCTTCAGGAGGAGAAGTTGGAACCGCTGAAAAACATAGCTGATGATCCACGTATTCGGCTTTTGAATCGGTTATATGCAAAGAAGAGAAAGGAACTACGAGAAAGGGGGAAACTTAAGGTGGTTTAAGTCTTATTGTTGTTTGTAGCCACTTATAACATACTATTTTTTTGGACTAATCTTTGTGTTTTTGGTGCATTAATTCAAATTTGAATTTTTATAAAATATAATTTGAAGGTATTTAAGTACTCAAACTGGAATATACATGTTAGCTTTGGTAACAAATCAATTTTCCTTATATTTCAGAATGTTGAGGTTGAGGAGGAGCTTGTGGATGAACGCTCGGTTGACGATCTATTGTCATTTATTAATGGTGGAAATGAAGGTATATATGAGATATGGTCCCTCATTGCGTTAGCAGATAGCTTGCATTATCTTTTGTGTGTTGCACTTTTTAGCTCTCAACTTATCCAGCCGGTTATTTAGTTGTAACTGATAGCATATGACTTGGAGAGTGACATTTATTGGGGTTGATATAATTAAGAAATCAAGACATCAAACTTTTAAGGATTTCTTTTGAGTACTTTCTAAGTTATCAAAATTTCTATGTAATTAATGATTGAAATCCATCCCATTGCCTGATTATCAGCGCCTATATTAGTTGAATTAGGATTAGTTTCCAAATGCAACTTTTTATAAAACGGATGGAAACAGTGAACAACTTTGAGTCAATTTGGCAAGTGCCTCCTGAAGAGCTCTTCAAATTCATTGGCCATTTTTAGAAAATTTTGAAGTAATTTATTATTGATCCTTGTCCTGGCAATAGATTAATCATATCTTCTGTTCTATATAAAATCTATAGTCCATGAATACAAATCCATTAAGCTTAGTTTGAGTTTAGATCAGTTTTCCAATTGCAGAAAAGTATTTTACTGTAACGAGTGGTCTTTAGCAACTAATGCCTATCATTGTGTTGTGAACTTTGTATGAATAGTATGTTTGTCTGATTTTATTTTTCCTCATGGGCTTGTGGTTCAGTTTACAAGTATTCAATTTGTTTTACGACTTCAAATGGTTTAACCATACTAATTGAGTGAGTAGAAATTGTTGCAGTTCACTGTCATTAACTATCAACTAATTTTTTTCTTCGGGAGGCAGTGTGTGCTCTCCTTTAAAGTCCCTTAAGTGATGGTTTCCATAAACACTCGTTGACAGATGCTTCAGTGTGTATAATATTTTTTGATGATGCTTAGCCTTGGCATACCCTTATAAAGTGTTATCTATTCCTCAGAGTCAAAGGAGGTTAAAACAAATAAGAATAAAAAGAAAAATCGGAGACGAAAAGATCAACTTAAGGATTCATCTTCAAACAGTTTAGACGGAAACCACAAGGTTGGCTCCTCTCTCTCTAGCTTATCCTGTGTTTGTGTGCTGCATGTCTTCTATGTGCATTTATGTGTTGCCTTTGCATGTGCATGCTTTTTTGTTATCAGAATCATTATTTTACCCATTGTTTTTGGCAATGACAAATTTTATAAGCTGATATATTTCACGTTCTTGATTGGCTATTGTTCTTTTTATTGTTTTAGGCATTCGATTCTCTCACGTCTGCTTGCCGTGATGGTGAACTTAGTGACATTACGTTGTCCACTCCTAGTCAAACTTCAAAGTTGCAAGGTTCAACAGCTGTTAGCTTTTCACCTAAGCTTGAGTTTGATGATTCTGATAGTGATGACGATTTGGATCCTGTAATGAAGGAGGAACTTGACAGGTTGTACATTTCATTCTAATCATATTCTAATATATGCTTTTTCCAGCTGTTTTCGTAAATCATTTCATTTGCAGCCGCTGTTTTCATATATAAGCTGGTTACTGTGGGAGAAATGACATTTATTTTACTATTCTTACCAATCAACTAGGGAGGTGGAGGACTTCGCTCGGAGATTGAATTCTGATTGGCCACAAAGGATGCAGGAAATTTTATCATTGAGCCAACAAAGAAGGCTTCTACCAGTATCCATGAATGGAAATGATTCTGCACACAGATGTACAGAGTAATGCTTTTTCCTTAATTATGTTGATACTTTATACGATAGTTGAAGAAAATTTTTGCCTTGATAGACTGAAAATGTTATAAGAGGAGTTATTTTAACTGCTAGTCAATATAACGAATCGATATTTTTATTTGCTAACAGTTTTGGACAGCAGATAATACTTCAAGATCAATAGAGTATTTATTTATGAAAATATCAGCAGCCGGAGGACACGGTAGAGCAATTTTTGGTGCTGCGAGATGGTAGAAGAGTTGGCACTTTTTTTCGTGTCCACTGCATGTGATTATATTTGTTTGTTTTACCATCACCAAAATGCAATTTACATTTTTGGAAGTTTTTGTACAATGGAAAAGGAAAGTTGAAAGTTAAAAGAATCAACTCTTGAGAGATGAGTGAGCAAAAATCTGCTTATTTGTCTTGTTTTTTAATTTAATTTAATTTTGTTGCAGTTGGGTTTTTTTTAATTTTCAGCCATACTATCATAGCTGGGTATACTTCCTCAAAATTTTGTTCATGGGGTTCAATACAACAGAATTTTAGACATGTTACTGTAAACTGGTAATTGACTTGATTAGAGAAGCACTTCCGCTTACACATAGAACTCCTCATAGATGGTACATTTTTATAATAATCAGCCCAAATAAACAAGAAAACTTTTTACTATTAAACTCAAACCTAAGGACATGGAGTTTAACTTTAACATACACCATAATCTTAATAAAAAGGGGACAAAATAAATATTTTAAGCTGTATCAGTATCAGTCCTTGACCTTGAGCGCAGAGTAGTATTTCTTAAAAGCTTTGGGAAGATAAAAAGGCAGCAAGAAGCCAAATAGATTGAAGCACCACAAGGCCATATTAGTCACAGCAAGTGCTCTCCCAATATATAGTCTCCTTGCCGATCCTCCATACTCACCTTCAACCTTAGAAATCTCACTCTTTAACCAATCCACAAGGGTGAAAATTCTCCGTGAATTATAGAAAACCGGCACAAATACACGTATAGGTGTAGAAAACCAGTCCGAGAAGGCCAGTCCTTCCATAAAAACTTGACTAGAAAGAAGAAAAACATGCGGCGCTGCAGCTTGTATCCCCTCTTTATCGCCCTCAAGTATGCCTTCAAATATGTAAGCTATGGGGAGTAAAAGCCCGATGACAGCAGCAGCCAAAACGTAGAGGCGAAGAACCCTGTTATTGGGGTCGTAAACTCTGGGTTCTCTTGTAGGGTGGAGAGTTGGGAAGGCAACTTTTGAGAGGAAATACAGGTAAATAACAGAAAAGATGACAAATGCGAAGTCCTCAAGGCTTACCATGCCACTGGCTGAGAAAACAATGATGACAGCCAGGGCATTAAGTTGGCGAAAGCTGAGAAAACCTGCAGCTTTACTAGGAGTGGCAGCGGCAGTGTTCTTGGTGGACGATGGATCATCCTGTTGTTTAAAAGCTACTTCATCTTCTTTTGGGAGAGTTATGTCTTTGCCTGACATTTTGTGTTTACTGTGCTTTTTTTGCTTCAGAAAAGATGATCAGGAACACATAAGATCTAAGATTTAGAATCCGAGGAAAGAAACAGAAGATAAGTAGACTTAGGATTTTGAGGAAAAATGTGAGCCACAGGAAAAAGAGTGTCTAGGAGATCAATTTTAGGGAGTTGGAAGAACTTGTTCAGTTGAGGCGAGGAAGATTGACAAGTGGCAGATATGGAGGGGTTAAAGGTAGAAGGATGTGAGACGTGGGTGGTTTGGAAGTCAAGAACTGTAAAGCTATTTACAAGCCAATTGATTCGGTGTTATAAGCCAATGTTTTGGATCAGAGTGTCCAGTGGTCTTCCATCAATGTTAGGGCCGTGTCAGCGACTGACACATTACCACGTGGAGGAAATCGGAAAGGTTATTGGGCCTTCAGATGCAACCAAAAAAAAAAAAAAAAACAGGCTTAAATTTGTATCCATCACATTCAAAGTTCATGGACTTCGTTTGGGCTCATGGGCTGTGGCCTTTTGGACGTGATTTCGACAATAGGGTATTAAATAATTCACTCGCGCGGATCCCATGATGCGCGTTTGAAAAACCTTTTAACACTACTAAATAAACTTCCAAAATAGCACTTTTTGTGTCGATTTGGTAGAAATTAACTAAAGCAACGAAGAGATAATTTCCACTGAAAGTGAGAAGATTTTTTTAGTGGGGTGAGCTTATGGCTATTTTGTTTCAGATCGTTAAAACACCAGAAAATGCCATAGCCCTTGTTGTGGGGGAGAACTTTGAATTGTCTAAAAAGTATGCTGATTAATCAATAATTAATTTACAAACTTGTCATGACCAAAATTTCACATAATCAAAATTATGTGAACAACATCAATTTTTTCAAATTGACATATTTACCTCCATACAATGCTGTAAACACCAGAATCATATTCTTCAAGCCACAATATGAACAAGCAACATTTAACCCAAATCTCTTTGGCCAACTTCAATCAAACACAAAATTCAATTAAATCTTGATGTTTGTGTCATAACCATCACATTCTTCAAAAAAGAATCATAAAACATTAATAGAAATTAAAATTTTCAAAAACCTAAGCTATGGCCGAATTTTGCTAGTTGAATAACATGATCAAAAACAAATTTATGCAATCTAAAGGATACACATGCATGGATCTACAACTCTTACAAGCAAGTTAACATGTAACTTTACAAATCAAAATTTGAAAAATTACACAACATTATTCAAAATAGAACATGAATTTTTTGGCCAATTTTAGACAAATAAGGATCAAATCTTTTGCTCTGATACCATTTGAAGATGGAATACATGGAGAATGATGCATGTGATACTATAACATGTATATTCATATTTTGCAAAAAAATTCAATCAAATTGAAAACAAATAAGGTATAACTTGTTACCTCTAAGTCCTTAGCAACCTTGGAGACTTTTAATTTCAAGAGAAATTAAACAAAAGAGTATCCACACTAATGTAAAAGAAGAATTAGGCCAAGAGAGACATTTAGGGTTCTTAGCAATTTTTTATCTCTACCATAAATTGATATATAATTTCTTATTATGTAGCCTTGTAAACAATTCAGTAATTGTTTAGATTTCCTTAAACAATTCCATAATTTTTTTGGAGTTGTAAATAATTATAATTATTATGAAATTGTTAAACTTCTTAAATAATAACATTGGATTAACATTAATCACAATTAACAATAAACAATTTAACCCTTAAATTGTTCATATGTTTACAATTACAGCCCATTATAAATCCAATTTAATATAAAGAAAAGATTAATTATGAATGGAATTCCATTTAATTCCAATTAACAATTTAACTCTTAAATTATTCATAATAACTAATAAACCCTCTATTAAATCTAATTCAATGATAATATATAAATAATTTATTACCCTTGGTAGGTGCTAGCCAACCTTGGATGATCAACTCTCTTTGGCTATTTCTCTATTCTTCATTCTCCTTAGTTTTTATGTGTGACCTCTTAGATTCACTATGGTTTAGCTGTGGGGCCTAATATCATAGTCTATTCGATATTATTTGTCATAAAACTTTATGAACAAAACTCCCACCGATTATGGTAGGTATCTAGCAATGCTCCATAACCCCTAAGTACAATGAAGATATACTCCAACGAACCCTTTTGTAATCATATGCGCTGTATAATCAAATCATTGCGTTGTCTAATCCTAATTAAGAATGGATTATGGTATGTCAAAATCCTTATCTTAATTTTATATCAAATTGAAATCAATACCTATGGAACGTGTCACTATGAAACAAATTTCAAGTAACATTTATATACCCGGCCGAAGATTTCCCTTTTCCAAATATTCTTGACATTTGTCTAGGAGCTTGATATCAATTTATACCAAGTCAATGGATTCAATCTTGACTACACTTGTCCTCACACATAAAACAAAACATGGCCAAATCAGCTTATTAATCATGACATGGTTAGCCTCATATATTATACACCATATGAACCTATGCGTTTATGCAGAATCTAACTGGAATATCTCAGATCTAAGGATTAATAATACACCGAGTAAGATCTTATGATAAATCATCGACTACATTTTAAATGTCCAAGTGATTCATCATAAGGTCATATTCGATAAACAGTTCACTAAAGCTTATCCATGTTAATGCCCTAGTGATATAATTTTTATAATCACCCACACTAATACACACACTGATATTCTATGGAGGCATTCAGCATGCCTATATATAATATATTGTCCAATTAATATTACCTATACAGGGAATACTTATATGATTTTGATCTTCTAAAGATTTGTATCATCCGAACATTTACATGTAATACATATATATAAATGAAGCAATAAACCACATGTGAAATAAGAACACTTTTCTATTAATAAGATAAATATATATACATTAATATATATATACAAAACATATGTCTTCAAACGACGACACAATTGGTTCCTAGGGCATACACTAACAGATGAAACTTTGAAGTGGATTGTTGCTATGTTCAACATTGAAGTGCCTAAGTATTTCTCTCAATCATTGATCACTTGCGTTCAAGACTAGCATCTATTGATATCTTCTACAACTCACTGCATACAAGTTGGAGCAAGAAGTGAATAAATTAAGAAGTTGTCAAGAGCTGCAGATTAAGGTCACCATGATTGTAATTATGACTCTGATGACTAACAATTTTTTTTGACTTGTTGCGTTTCTTTTAATGTTGTGGGGGAGGAAGGTCAATATGGGGGCATTTTTCACTTGACAATGATGATAATGATATGGACCTATCATATGGTGAATTAAGGATGGATTGAATAATGGAGATCTGAAGTCCGTGAAGAAGACCATTTTTTGCTAAAATGTGATTTTTTATGAACTTTGTATTTTGAACCCTAAATCAGTTGTAACATGGATTATATTGATGTTACTTTATGTTTGTTAAAGAATTTCACTCATAAAACTTAGGCTCCGTTTGGTTCACTTTTTTACATTTTTTAGAAAAGTTTTTGAAAAAAGTTAAAAAAAGTTAAAATGGGCAGGTATTATGATGTAGGATTTGGAAACTAATAAAATATCTCCTATATTTGTTTATTTACTAAACACCCCATAATAACACTTTGAAAGTTAACAAAAACACCATCAACCCACCCATTGAATAATTACAGCCGGCCCCACCGCGAAGGGTGGCCGGAGTTCGTATCAGCGCATGACCGGTTGGATCTTGCAGGTCGTGCACCGAATGGCATTTACCGGCCATATCTACGGTGGATCTGGCTGGTAAAGGCCAGATCTATGGCTAGATCTGGCCATTGACTGCTAGATCGGTCGCATTGCTCGTCAATGATGGTCAAAGATACGGCCGTCGTGGATGGTCAACGACGACATATGTTGGCCGTCGTTGACGTCTGGTTACGGCTAAAGATCTGGCCTTAGATCTAGCCTTTTCTGGCCAGATCCACAGTGGATTTGGTGGAAAAGGTTAGATCGGTGCATACGGCCAGATTCAGCTGGTAGTGCGCCATATATTAGATTCCGACCAACTTTGGCAACAGTGGCTGAAATCTGGTATAATGTGGGTTCAGGGGTGTTTTGTAATTTAAAAAAATATTTAGGGGTATTAATTAAAATAACAAATTTAAGGGGTTTAAAAAAAGTTGAATAATATGGATAATATGTGAGTTTTTGGGCATTTTACTGTTTAACTTTTTGGGAATACTAATAATAGTATTCCCAAAAAACAACCAAACAGAGCCTTAAATTTGGAATCTGCAGCTTCGTTTGGTTCACATATTGGGAAAACATTCTAGTTTCCCAAAAAAGTTAACTTATTCACCTATTTTGAAAATAGTTTTCTAAAATATTCAATTTCCTTAATCCCCCTAAATTTGTTAATTTAACTAAACAACCCCAATTTTTTTGAAAGTTGACAAAAACACCCCAGTAACCCAAATCACCAGATTTCGGCCACCTGCCGGAAGCTGGTAGGAATTTGGTGTAATGGTGCACTACCGGCTGAATTGGCTGGTAGTGCGCTATCTAGCCTTTTCCGATTAGATCCACGTCAGATCTGGCCGAAAAAGGTCAAATCTACGGCCAAAGATCTGGTCGTCAACGACCAGATCTTTGGCCATAGACAGTCGTCAACGACGGTCGTATCTTAGTCATCGACGACCAAATGCGGCCAAATCTGGCCGTCAATGGCCAGATCTAACCGCAGATCTGGCCTTTCCGGCCAGATCCAAGGTGGATATGGTCGGAAAAGGCCATATCGGCGTACGACCGGCAATATTGTCGGTTATACGCTGATCGGCAACTCTGACCACCTCCGGTGGTGGTGGTCGGCTATCCGTGTTTATGAGTGGATTGAGGGTGTTTTATTAATTTGAACATTTTATTTAGGGCTGTTTAGTAAATAAATAAACATAAGGGATATTTAGGTTAATTTTAAAATTCTATATCGTAATACCCACCCAATTAAATTTTTTCAAAAAATTATTCTAAAAACTACCCAATAGAATCAAGCGGAGCTTGGCATTTTTTTTATGCTAACATCCTTATGTCAATATGATGACATCAACCTGAATCAGTTGGATCAGTCGACCCGATGACCGACCAAATTGTCGGGTTTCGTTTTTAAAACATTGATGATGGTATGCCGATTTAAGGCATGTGAGTTAAATGAAATAATTTTCATATGACAGTTTATGTCATTTCACTTTTAAGACGACATGAATACGA